GACTTTTATACATTTGATTCATGGATTTCGCTTATGTTCAGTACTGTATTTTGAGAGAGACGCAATATTTTATATAGAAATTAAGTGAGAGTGAATTTAGGTTACCTCAGCGTATTTATTAAATAAACTGAAATTAGCTTTCAGTCTTTAGCATTAACTTTCTCTCCCTTGTACTTCAAATTTCCGCATTTGAGTTGCGCGCTTTGTTCTAGATGTCTTTTGATCCCGTGCCCCAAAAATTGGTGTTTATGCTCTAGATCGCACGGGGCAATTAGAATGACCGCCAATTTAACTCGTTATGCAAATAGTAGGATTTTAAATTGCAAAAACGTAAAAGCTATTGGCAAAAATATCAACTGTTAAGAGATGATAAAAATCAATATTAAATTAAACTAAACAAAGTTGTGGTTTATTTATTTTTTATTTTTAATCATCCTAAAATAGTAAACAGTCAGTGCGTAATAACTTCAATTTCATATCGGCTTTTGATTTATCTCTGCCGAATCGTCTGACTTTAATTCCACCCGTGTTTCTCAGCCGGTAAAAAGTGAAGACATAAATTAGTAACCTCGAGAAGGATAGTAGGTAACATTTCCGTTTCACAAAATCGAACGAGCAGCGAAAGTCTCGTCTGCTAATACTGCCAGCATTTCTATTTAAACTTGCCTCCTACTCGTAATTAAATAGATTCCTTTGTGACTTGTTTCGTCTCAACATTTAACACTTGCTAATTAATTAATAATTTTAAAACTAACCGGATGCACATCTTTTCAAAATTGGTGTTTCGCGGATGTTTAACTCTTGAGTGCTTTATACGATTCGGTAAACGTTGACCTCTTGGGACGAGGCAAGATGTTTCCGGTGGCAAAAGAAAGGAAAAAGGAGGTTTTACGAACGGCCTTTTGCCGTAAATTATTTACAGGCGGTTTATTAGACTTGTCTGCATAATCTTGAGTGTTGTGTTTAATTTTATTGCGCGGAGAGCGAGAGATATATTGCACCTGCGAACTGGAAGCCGAGTGCATTTAGCAATGCACCACCGCAAGCTAAAGACTCATTATGTAAGGGGTATTTCAGGGTTTTAGTTACGATCGGGACTTTAGAAATAATTAGAGGGGATTTGTATTGTATGTTTATAATAAAAGCTAAAAGTTGGTTGTTTGCGCTAATTAATACGATAGTTTACGTTACGTCATAAAAATAGAAACTTGTATAGCAAAATATTTGACATTAATTAGCCGGTATTGTAGAACCAAATTACTCGGCTACATTGTTAACTTTATGATATTGTATATGCGTGTAATTATTATTATTTTTGTTAACGACTCTATTTGATTTATTAAAAATATTGTGTGCTTACAATCAGAATATAAACATGTTTTTTTCATTACGTATAGGTACAGGGTGTTTCACATAATTTTACGAGGCCTGCGCCTGTAGGATGCAATTAATAATACATATTCCGATACGAACTGGATTACAAATTTTGAAAAATTTTTCTAGTTTGTCCACCCTTTAAAAAATTACGTTTTTTGTGAGTTAGTGATTAAGATAGATAAACTCACCGCCTCCTTAATCAAATGTATCAATATCCCGCCTGGGCATTTCGTAAAAAATGCATTGGAGCAGTGATTCCGATTTTTTCTTAGTTACGGGGGTTACTAAGGAAAAACTGAATAATTTTTAATTATTAACGAAAAATAACGCAATTAATAAATGCTGGGAAGGAAGGATGCAACAAAACTAGATACGCCAGGGAGAATTGATATTATGAGATTGAACCCTTTAAGCTAAAAAACTGGATTTGTCAAAAAAAATTCCCCAGATTAAAGCGCCAACGGGAATCACTTGAACTAAAAAAATGCAAAGACGAGAAAAAGATTATTTCTATGGAGACGGCGATGGATAAACTACAATCATATTCATGCCATCTCGTGATAAAACAAATTGTTTCTGAAAAACTGCAGTTTATGACTATTAATGAAACAGTGATTAGTTTGACAACTACTGTCAAGCGTTTCCAAAATTTATAGTACATTATATTATAAGTGATGAAGATATGCATCATTATACGCGAGTGAGAATTTTGACCGACAAGTGCGCTTGCGCACGAGTGGGACACTTCTCACGAGTTTCATAATGGCATTTCGATCACGTGTGATATACGGCGTTTTATCTTACAGGTGCAACAATCTAAAAAATGAAGTTTCATTCGAGTAAAATATTCACCTATAAAAATATAATAGTAAATATGATATAATAGTCAAATTTACTCACTTGTGAGTGCTTTATCTCACTTGTGAATAATATTTGATTTTTATCACCGAAAACAATGGTCTAAGGTAGCTCAAAACCTCAACCTGTAAGATAAAATAATTAAATGTGTATTTTCTGTATCCAGTGTTTCATGACTTTTGTATATTTGGATGCGTACATTAGGCGCAGGCCTCGTAAAGTTGTGTGAAACACCTTGTATTTATAACAAACAACTAGAAATTGAAAAAAATTCTCTGTGAAAATTAATTACAAAAAAGACCTCGTTCCAAACAAAAAACAAAATACAAATCTAAAATCACAAATTTTTCCTCGTTTTGTATCGATTTCTATCAATTCCAAACATACAAAGCCCTTAGGCGTTCGTCGCTCTAAAACTTTTTAGCCATCAGGGACACGAATCATCGCTACCACTACCTAATATATGTCATCGTGTGATATACATTTTTTAAATTTGAGTCCAAAATTTTTTTGGTAACATATTTATTAAAAATATAGTAACATTAGAATTCCAATAATTATGTTTTCCAGCATAGACATTTCCTTTTTTAAAAAAATAACCCTCATTTTTTAACACGAAAACTCGTTTCACTGAAACAATTAATCTTAAGAAAATTTTTTCTTGCAGAAATTATTCATCCTTTAAAAGTGTTTTATTAACCTACAACAATTTCTGTTTATAGATCGATCGCTGCATAAATTTCAGAGGGTTATCTCCCTCGGCGGTTAATCTTCGAAGCACAGGCCATTATCTCCTTATACGTTTAAAATATGCCTTAAACGGGAGTTAGAGAAATCTCACGCACTCCATCGACATAATGCACTCTGTGCTAAGTTTGTCAGCAAGTAATCGGAGAATTGAGGCGTGAGCAAAGTCATGAACCGCGTCGCGAATTAGCCAGATGTAACGTTTTAGAAAAGTTTCAGACGCTTTATGATCACAAATAGGATATTCGAGTGGAAGGAAATTGTACTGAACTAAAGCCTCAAAAATGAAGATGGAGTGATTATTTATTATTGATTTTCGTTGGTTGAAGTTATTGTAAAAAAAAGATAAGTAGAACAAATACCTATGTAATGAAAATGAAATTTTTCTTGAAACTGTTAAATTTTTTAGTATTATGATAACACATATTTGTTTTCCCAGAAAAATTTACATAAGTTTTGTGGATTAAAAAATTTTGAGGTTAACTCTTTAACCGAAACAAAAAATTGGTTGAATGTACCTTCTGTACAAAAAGTACCGGGAAATTTTAAATAAAATAGTACTACGTTATAATTGATCAATATTTATTTTGTTTCCTTCAAATTAAACTCCATCTGAAGTGACACAAATATGCCAACGTTTAACTCAGTCATCAGAACACTTCTCATAAACAACGGAAGGTATGGCTTTTAGTTCTTGCTGCGAATTTTGTTTTATGTTTCTTATGAACTCAAAACGTGTCTTAAAACAAAGCCTAACCAAATCTATTATAAACGTATCTAGACGTTAAGCGTAGACGACGGTAATATCAAATTTCAAAGCTCGATGTCAGCCAATCAAATGCTAGGAGATAGTGAAGCGATAAATTGATCAAATTAATTTCACTAGCAACCTAATTACTCACTATCTGTTATACTACATAAAATTATAATAAAAAAATAACCACTATTTGACAATTTCCAACATCTTGCCAAGAAGCGTTCCAACTAAATGTACTTAGATTTAATTGAAACTCTTGGAAGCTTCCGTTATTTTCCATTTCACTGCGTGCCTACTGCCGTAATTTGACTTAAGACACTAATATTACTACAGTTATTAATATTCAACCGGACTTATTAAGGTGAAAGGATCTTTCAGAATTTATTAGTGCTGAAAATGGTGGATGCGCCGGGATGGGCAACTTAGTTTTTTCTAAAATAAATAATTTAATTCAAATTTTTTATGTCAAAAAATAAAACTAGGTTAATACCATTATAACCTGCTTTACAAGAGCAAGCATTTAGATAGTGTAAAAATTCTTGTTATTTACTTGCTTTGCGCTTGGTCTTTAATTACGAAAACGTTTTTATCATTTTTTTTATTTTTAAATTAAGCTTTTAATCCACCAAAACTGTTCTAACATTCAAATATCCGAATGACAGAAAAACAAATATAGAGAATCAGTTTTCTAGACTGATAAATAATCTCGTTCAGCAAACCGGAATATTCCGGGCATAGTTCCAAGTTGCAACAAAACCGATGTAATTTTTTTTATTCAAACATATCTAAATTTTTTAATACCACTAGAACAATTCTTAAATGTAATAAATACGTCACCTTTTCAAGACTAAAATTTTAGCCGGAAGCATAACAGAAGAATCCAATAAATCATAAACATTTTTCCGGTTTCAAAACTTTGACCAGAAGTAAGTCCTAAAAAGAATAAAAAGGAGCAAACTTTTTGTTTAAACTTATTCAAACAAATAGTTTCTTCATTTAAAGTGAACAAAGTTTATTAAAATTTTACAATACTTTTTTCAAGCTACATTATTGAGTTTGGAATAAAAATTGCTCTGAGTCTGAGTCACCGGGAAATTAGTGCACTTTCAATGTAACATTTCCGAAAAGCGTCCTTAGATTTGCACTAGGAGACAAAGCTCCGGAGGCAAAAGCTCATCTAGTTCTGGCCTTTACCGCGCATCGCTGGGGCGCTTTAAGCGTTGAGGCTGGGCCGTTCCAGTACCTCGTGGACCACCGTATCGTTCATGTAGAAAAAGCTCGGAGTGTTTTGCGTAACGGTACGAAATTTATTTCAGTGAGCGGAGCTTTGCAAATTTTCTGTGTCTTGTGAAAACAATGTGGACAAACTTTCATAAAAGTAAAGTAGTGCAATGTCAGCTTTAAAGTCAGAGCTTTAAAAAACCTGACAACTATTCAAAGGTTTCAATTAATTTTTTCTTGATTGGTTTTGTTGAGATCTAAAACCTTCTCACTTTTGATTAGAGCAATTTAATTTTGAGATTTCTTTATTTAAGAGTTTCAATAATTACAATTTATTTTTAAATTGTGGCTAGAAAGTAAACTTGATGCACGTCGTCGCTTATATCTTTATTACTTTGTAAGAGACATTTTTTTTTACTAAATGGCGGCCATTTTGAATTTTCGCATTTCAACTTATTAAACTGTGCGTAATGAAACCGATTTTGTTCTCAAAAACGTACAGTTTTTGCGATCATCGAGAGCGAAATATATATTATTCATGATCTTTTTTGTTCCAAATTATTATTGCGGAAACCAAAAACATACCGAACACAATGGCATTTTTTTGGCAACAAACAATAATGAAAATTTTAATTTGATGCATTATTGGGAATTGGTAAATTTAAGCCGAAAAACCTGTGTTACGTATTCCAGAAAGTTTTCTAAGGCTGGAGCTAAAAATAAGCTTTTCTTTTCTTTTCCTAATTGACCAGAAGAAAAATAACTTTCAATTGCTAATTTATGCAAAGACTCACGGTTTTAATTTCAGAAATGGTTTTTATTTACTTTTGTTTGTTTCGCTTTGATTTGATAAGTTTTGCAAATATCTTGGAGAAACTTAATCAAAACACTTAATTATTCAAGTGTATTTATTCTAATTAATACACAATTTTAAAATGAAAATTTACTCCTAATAGTATTCCTATACTTATTTTTGTTGGTCATTTATTTACTCTTGTGTGATTAATAAAAGATACAAGAAATTTATTCTTGTTTGTTATGGTTGTAAAACACGCATCACTTACAAAAATTATAATTCATTTTAAGTGCACAATTATTGGAAAATTTTATCTTAATAATACTGATAGTTCTGAATCTAGTAAATGGTTCGATGATTGTTGTTGTGTTCTAAATACCTACATCACAAACATAACAAAACTTTTACAACTTATTAATGCCCTTTTTAGTAGATTTATGTACAAAATCGACACTAAGAATTTATGGTTTAATACAGTCAAATTGTGTGTTTCTAATTTTAATAATATTAATTTTTTAACATTTTTTATCTAAGAAAGATATTTGTCGGTCGTATAATTTGTTCTGTTTGTACCTCTGAATTATTGTGAGCTAAATTCGCCGCCACTGCAAGTTGTTATTGTGTGAAACAAAAGCAAAAACATGTAACACAGATAAATTTAAATCTAATAAATACAAAACCAATCGATTTGAAACTAATAATTTGTGTTTATTTTATCCGGCAATATTACTGTAAATTATAATATTTCAGTAGACATTTGGCAGGAATTCCACCAATAAGCTAGCTTAAAAGGCGTTTTTAAATTCAAATAAAAATTGTTTTCACTAAAATTCCACACGATAAATAAACCATACGTCCAATCGGGAATGTTCTATTCGACGCCGGCTATCAATTTCCATGAAAAGAATTGGCAGTTTGGAAATGAAAATACTTGAAATGTATTCGTCTTTTCCCTAAATTTCAAAAAGATAATTACCCGAGAAAAGCTGAAATGGCATTTGATAAATTTGAACAAACACGATAAATCACCAGATTTTCTCTTCGATTTCATATTCCAAGTCCACAATAATGCCATTAATTTTTTTCAGAGATGTAACAAAAATCTCGAGACTGCTTAATTCCTGTCACGTGATAACTTTGCTATGCTAACTGAATTAAGTAATTTTATATTTTTTCTAATTATAGGAAAGATTTTAAAGAACAAATAAAAATTTGTCTTTAAGCGAAATGTACTCAAAAGTCACTCCAATATGGATTACTTTTTTTTTTAAAGCATTGAGTTCAAAGACTATCTATTGACTGAAATAAAAGTTACCAAATTTGTCACAAACAGAATCATCGATTTGAATAGACTGAAACTGGAGTTTCTCGTCCTGACCTTTCACACAGATTAGGATTTCTCTTATACACAAACATCAATCGAAACATCTTCATTAATCCGCATTGAACTCTGTGGCGTAGCTTGTTTTAATGTGGACAATGGACATAGAGTTTTGTTTTGGAAAGCGGGTGTTTTATTAGGAATCATACGAAAAAATACTCTTATTAAACTAGGTACATAATTATGTACGAGTATATTTTATTATAAAAATCAAGACTTATACAGGCTGACTTTTGTAAGCTCTACATTAGAAACTTTTTAACTACCATTGTAGTTACGGTTTTAAAATTATGTACTCGACCACAATCGATCATTTTTAATTCAACTAAATTATTTTGAGAAAGGCTAAACTTTTGAAACTACAAAATTTTAAAAGGCAAAACGTATTTAGCAGCCTCTATACATTGTTTATTAAATACTCTCATACAGTAGAGATCTGATGCCACAAAAGATAATATTTGTGTTGTTATGTGGGCGTAAAAATGTTGTATTAAATATATCACAGACCTTTTCAAACCGCAATTAGCTTAATGTTGAAATTGTAATTAATTAGTGATATGCGTACGTGTTAAATCAATTTAATTTTTATTACGACCAAAGCTGAAGCTGATAATCGGATAAAATTCAAGTATCTTGTAATCAATAATTCAATGTCCAGTTTGGTATCGTTCTACAATATACCATACTGAAGAGAAGCACAGAGCGAATTACAAATTTCCTCGATAATTTAGAATTCCGTTTAATTCGTACAAGCAGAAAAAAATCTTTCTAACTGTAATACGAAAACAAAGCCGTGTTTATCTTGACTCTAATTCCTCTTTCTATCTTTATGGACATATTCAAGATCGCATTTTTATGCCACCAATAAAAAAGTATTCGGATTTATGCTTTTTTGGCATTTTCGCGGATACAAAAGTTATAGCCGAAGAATGGAATTACTTATTCCGTAATCCATCTGTGAATTAAAATTTATGGACTAAGAAAATGCTTCAGTACATATTAACAGAGAAATTTATGATAATCTTAACCCTATTGTGGAGAAATCGATAATCATTACTATTCAAAAAATTCTCTTTTATATTTTTATTCCAAGAAAATTAACTTTTGTCTCATTAAAAACTTGTCGCTGAAATTTAAGCTCGACTTGTAATTATGTTTTAATTAACCTTTTGGGGTTAAAAGTGGCCAAGTCAATTTCTTAATACATTTAAACCGGCGATTAAATCATAAAATTTAGTTAGGAAGAAAAACGCAAAAACTCTATTTGCTTTAAAAAATTAATCTCAATTAAAGCCACCAATAGTCGTAAATTATTGATTATCATCAACGGAATATAGATAAATACTAATGCAGATATATACTTGAAATGAATTATATGTATATGCAAATGCCGACAGTAGTACATTGTTGAAGTGTTAATTAATAAATCTCCTGCTGCAACTTATGATTACTGAAATAAATTTGCAGTAAATTTTAGCCGCTTGATAATTAAATTTAATCAAAAATAAAGTTCAAACAAGTTGTTTGCAACAGCAGAAACAAAACCGGTTTCGAATTTGTATTATTTGTGAAAATCTTACAATTTCGCATTTAAAGCTCATTAGTTCTGACAATGTTGCTTCTGGAAGCTCTAAAATAGTCAGCAGGTTTTGTACAATAAAAAGTACACATTTGAAGATTCAGTAATTATTTACTTCTAAATATAACCCGAAACCAGTTCAGCATTGAAGGAAATCGATGCTTCAAATTGTCCACTTAACTGAAGAAAAAGATTAATATACTGAAACAAATGTGCCAAAAATTGGCAAAACTTTTCCTTAGTGTTGCAGTTTTACTAAAGAAATATACAGGCTGCGCCAGAACTCGCGACCCAGAGAAAAATGCCATATAAGGTAAGATACCAGGAACATGGAAAAAATGTTAAAAAGAATTATCTATAAAAATTTCGAAGTTATGAAGGTTTAAAGTCTGCACTTTGACTCTATTTATTTCTGTTGGAAAAATAATTTTCCAAGTTTTTTTGCTGTAGGCTATTAAAAGAGGAAACAAGGAAGCTGTATCTTAAATTGTAAAAGTGTTTTATGTTATTTCTGGCTTTTATTGGCAAAACTTTTGTCCCTTTTCTAAATAATTGTAAAAAAATACATACAAGATCATCAGTATCCTTAAATAGATGTCAAAAAATATATGTCAAATTTTTATTTTTTTCATGTTCCTGGTGCCTTACTTGAAAATTTTCTCTGGGGCGCGAGTTCTGGCGCAGCCTGTATATTTTAAACACAGTTGAGGTTTTGAGTGTATATACTGTATATACTGTAATTGTAAAATGTAACTATAAAGTTACATTACACCTATTATTACAAGTTATAATCATTCAGTCTATTTTTTTCTAACAACTAACTTATTTTATTGTATTGATCAAAATTTGTTTACTCGCATAAGTTAAAAATTTTAGAAAATAAAACAAAACAAAAATAGACCAAACAACTTTGCACAAATGCACAAATTATATTTTTTCAACTAACTGAAAAGTATTGCAACTCTTTTGTTAGTTAAGTGATGCTTAATGAGCTCAACAATAATCAAAACGTTTGTTACGCTTTCAATCTTGAATGTTTTGGTTATTATTGATTTTTTAAGAAATTTTCAGTTCTTATAATTTCTACTAGTTAAATTCAAAACAAATTATATTTATGGATATTTTATAAATTTTTGACAACTTAGAAATATTTAAATAGATTTATGATATGTCGAGCAAATTGTAAACTTTGTGTAAGCTCTGATGCAACAAGTACCTACCTGTCATAACCACCACACACCTACCACGTTATTAATATAGATAAGGGCCTAACTTTATCAAATTATAAATCCCTTTTTAAACCTTTTCGACACATAATAATTCATTAGTAGGGTCGATTTAATTATTCCTACATGAAAAAATCATTACTTTAAATCATTGGAGCTTATTTAAACATCAGAAATATTTCTCCCAAACACAATATGTGCAAACTTAATTAAATTAAAAGCTTGTTTGCAAGTTTA